CGGTCTTTGACTGCGCACGCCTCTTGTCGAACTCTCTGCGTTAGCAGAGGAACCCGGACGAGGCTTTGCCGAAGGGCAAAGTTTCGTCCGGGGAGGTAGACAGGGCCTGAACCCGTTTAATCGGCTTCAAAAGGCTATTTTTTTGGCCGAGCCTACGGGCTCGGGGAAACCCACATAAAAACCGGCCTTGTGCCATATTCTTTTTTCCGTGGGTGAAAAGATAAATACCGAATGGCATCTCGCGGTCTTTGACTGCGGACGCCTCCTGTCGAACTCTCTGCGTTAGCGAGAGGAACCTGACGAGGCTTTGCCGAAGGGCAAAGTTTCGTCCGGGGAGGTAGACAGGGCCTGAACCCGTCTAATCGGCTTCAAAGGCTATTTTTTTTGGCCGAGCCTACGGGCTCGGAGAAACCCACAAAAAACCGGCCTTGTGCCATATTCGTTCCTCGTGGGTGAAATGATAAATACCGAATGGTGTTGAGCGCGTCAGTCGAGATTCGGACATTTGAAGTACCAACCATCACAACTAGATTGCTGCGCCATTGACTCTTATTTTCCAAGTTCCTAACGTTTTGTACGTCGGACCTAATTTAGGACGACTTATTAGAAATACGAGCCTCCACTGTGAAAATACTCCACAACAGAATGAAAAAAGTTTAAGAAACGCTGATCTAGACTATATGCCCAAACACATTTTTTAATTAGGATCTTTTCTGTTAATTCACCTCAAATATTGTAAAGTTACTTATCGCGAATATTAATTCATCTCGAGAAATTATAAATTTTAAATCAAAGTTTGTTTTTTTTTTTAATTAAATTTTTGGTACTCTTTTGAAATTATAAATTTTATAGAGATACATGAAAGCTGTTTCTCCCGTCGAAAAAAACATGTTTGACGCCAACTGCTAAACTAATGGATATTTGATTAGGGGCATATGTCGATTTCTCTCGTATGTTTGTCAATGTAATTTTTTTCCAAAAGAACAGCCTCCACATTACTGGACACATTCCGAAGCTGTATTTTACCTGGGACTACGATTATGTTGGATTGTTGGAAAGGATATACATCTTTGAAGAATGGCCCCAATTATAATCATCAGACTGTAAATCACAGTGTGGAATTCGTTGACCCAGAAATATCAGCTCCACATGAAAACAATTTTATTGATTCGCTGTGAAAAATTGAATGATATTATTGTAGTTTCAGGTCGACATCCCTTTGTCTCCCGGCAAGCAATATTTTTACTGCCAGTCCGCCACTGAATAGCAATCCTCCCATATGCTGAACAACATTCTGAGAGAAGAAGAGGAAATTTGAGACAACAGAGACGGGATTCTACAGAAGGATTCTTTAGAATAAAAATGTGGGCTATTATATTTATTTTTTAAGGAAAACTTAATTGAAAAGGACACTTGTATTTAAAATCAGAAAGAGACAGAGGAAATGAAGAAACAGGACTTCCTGATCTTTGAGGAAATGGTCAGGCATTCACTGCCATACAGGAGGATTAATATAGAATAACAGAACACAATTCTTTTTTTTTTTAATGAATCTTTACTGTTCTTAAATACTTTACTTAGCTTTTGGAAGGCATCTTTCTTCATACCAATATAAATTTTCAAATCATTGTTTTCAATCAAGGCAATAAAGCAACTAAGACGCAAGGGATTGCTGAGTGTTAAAGAATATGAGAAAAACTACTATTAAGGAGAGAGCACAATAAAAGAGCAAGACGTTAAAAGCAAAAGGATAACGATTGGCAATGCAGTTAAACTTTTGAAGATCAAAGTTGACTGGTAAGCAAGAAAAGAGACTTCCACAAGTGAGAAGTGCGATAGAAGGAACTGTTAGCACAGAACTTACGGTTACATCTAGCCATTTCAACTTTAAAATGATGAGACCTAGCCGCCAATCTAGTACTGTACTTAAATTTATAAACTCTAGGTACCATAGAGAAAAATAATATTTATTTTGCGTAATACAAATATGTCTGTTCTTGAATCTGTCTTACCTCAAACTTAGATAGCTACGATTACTGGCCACAACATAACACAGTATTCCTTACACCAAAACAACAAATTCTTAGTACAGTCACCATAATACCTCAAAGTCTCTATGAAGTCCTAAGTAGTTCCCATATGTACAATTGGTCTGTTGTTGAATAAAATAACATCATTTAAAAATGAAACCCCAATAGAGGACAGTTCATCAGAACAATTGCCATGAAAGTATTTACAGAAAAGGCAGTGGGAAACTGAATGAAGCCGAGATGCCAGGTCAGGACCAATATCATTACAGATTCTTTGAATTTTATCAAGAATCTCTAAATATATAGCAGAAGCACCAGACCAGTTGTAGCAGTAATATTCAGAGCATTTTTTTTTATTTCTGATTGTACATTCAAAATTACAGAAACATCTTTATAAAGAAAATGCATTTTTTTTTACTTTCAGTCGCTTTTTTTAACGTTCTTACGATAAAAAGTATAAAAGATCAAAATTCACTGTTGTCTCGATACAGTCAAAAGCGATCGTTTTAAATGACCTTAGGTAAAACTAAACGCTTCTAATGCCATCTACCAACAAAAATAAAAGGAACGATTTAGCAAATGTGTGTGTGTATTCATGTGCAATGATGTCTTTGTGCCCGTGAGTGTGTGCGTGTGTGTGTGTGTGTGAGAGAGAGAGAGAGTTTTATTTTGCCATTTGTGTTACATTCAATTTTACAAGCGTCACTTCTCATGAGATTACGAAACAAATAAAAAATGTCGGTTATCAGCATCGATGGGCGTGCTCTTTTCTCAACGCTTCCTCCCTGAGACGCCATTAAAAACTACATTGAAGACCAAGTTTGCTTCATGGAATTCATTTGGCCATAAAGGAATTTTTTTTTTCGAACCCCAATTTTTCTCTCTATCATACATACCTCTAAACCTATCATTGGTCCATGCTTAGAACGTTGCTACCACATATGGTCCGGTGCCCCTGCTATTTATAATTTAGATTTTATATATAAAAAATCTGCAAATTATTGGTCATGAAAAAAAATAAGCTGGACTTCAGTCACTCTCCCACCGCCGTAAGTTTGCCATTCTGTGCCTTTTCTATAAATTCTTTCATTTAAAATGCAACGTCAAGCGCCATCGTCTGTCTTCCTGGACCCTGTTTTTTTTTTTTTTCCTTTCTCTAACAGAATAAAAAATCTTTTCAATTCAAAAACTGGCATTCTGTTTTGTTTTATTTGACTCTTAATTTATTTAATTTATTCTGGCATTCTGTTTTTTGATTTTAAAGTCCACTTGGATTTTACGTCAGCATTTTTTTTCGATTTTTTTATCATAAAAAACACACACACACACACACACACACACACACACATTTAATATATATATATATATATATATATATATATATATATATATACAAATGTAAAAAAACGAAAAAATAAGATTTCAGCGTCCAAAACATTAATTTAAAACAGGGCTCAATACAAAATAGAGCAATAATTATTATCGGAATAAAATATTTTAGTAGCATCGTTTTTTCTCACCTGATGAAACGTTAAATTTTTCTGTGAAACAAGATATTGTAGTGGGTATGTACATGTTCTAATGTAACAGTCCACAATATATATATATATATATATATATATATTATATATATATAATACAAATTGGTTAGTAGGCATAATTCTAATGAGAACATTAATCCAAAATAGAGGTCAATGTAAAACACAGTAATATCAATAATAAGTAACATTCCAGTTGCTAGGTATATTCTGTTTTTTTTTTTTTTATATTAATTTATTCAGTTAATTTCATTTTTTAATTTTGATAAAGTCCACATTGGACGAAACACGTCAAGCAATTACCAGTTTTCCTATTGTCATTTTATTCATAAATATTGTCTTCTCTACTGGTTAAATCAGAGAAATGTTCATATATATATATATATATATATATATATATATATATATATATATTTAAAATTTAAATTTATATTTATATATTATATATGCATGGGTACTTATTGGAAAGCGCTCAAATACAAGGATATAGCTAATATTTAGTTGGATCCAATATATATATATATATATATACACACCTAACGAGCCAAATGAACCTACCTAGGTTTCACCTAAACGGATCGTCAGGAAAATTAGGTCTGCTCTACGGTTGTATTGAGCTCTTTTGTTAGTTAGTTGTTTACTCGTATCAAATCTTTTTCTTTGGGCTTCAACCTGCATCTGTGCGATTTTTTTGTTGACAGACTTTCATGTTTGTAGCTCTTTCTTTTTTTATAAAACCTTTTTTCCCTCGAGATTGATTTGATTATTGCAAATCAAAAATTCGAGGGTTTTTCAAATAAACGAGTCTAGTTATCTATATTTATATATATATATATATATATATATATATATATATATATATATATATATATATATATATATATATATATATATTTATGTAATAAAATAACATATTTATGGATCCAACTATATATATATATATATATTGTGTGTGTGTGTGTATTTTTTGAGAATGTGTTGTGTACATTTTCAGGCAAATCATTGATAGATGGAATAGGAAACACGTTTTTGTCAGACCAAATTCCTATAGGACATTCTTTGATAAATACCATAAACTATATTTATGTCATTGAAACACGCAAGATACAATAAACAACTTAATAGTCACGATTGCTAATTTGTGTCGGCCATTGTCCTTCTTTTTTGTAAGGTTATAAATTTTTTCAAAAAGTTGTCGATGTTGGCATATTTATAATATTCAGGAATACAAAGTGAGAAATATCATTAGCGATCCATGAAAACAATTGAAAACCTGGGAAATAGAGTTTTTGTATTTTTTTTGACAGATCTCTCTCGTATCCTGATTTTCTATAAAAATATAAAAAAAAAAAATATATGTCACATTAAAATGTTTTTTTCGCACAAAAAAAATTTATACAGAACCAGTGAATACGAAAATTTATTTTTAATTATGTATGCATCTCTTTATCTAAATGAAATAATCTATCTATCTATCTATCTATCTATCTATCTATCTATCTATCTATCTATCAAATTCTATATCTTTTCTGTCTCTCTCTCTCTGTCAAAGATATTCATATATATATTTATATATTTCATATATATATATAATGTTTAAATTTATTTACCAAAAACTATTTTGTCTTTTAGAATCTATCTATCAATCCTTAATCTATCTATCTCATTCTTAAAATTTATCTATCTATCTATCTATCTATCTATCTATCTATCTATCTATTCTATTAATATCTATATATCATCTATCTATCTATCATCTATCTATCATATCTATGATCTATCTATTTCTTTCTCCATATTCATTCTATTTCATCTATCTCTACCTTATTATTTGTATTTATTTCTTTATCCATTTATTGGATCTACATTCTATTTTTACATCATCTATCTATCTATCTATCTATCTATCTATCTATTCTCTATTCTCTTAAAAATTTCTCTGTATATATATTTGATATATATATATATATATATATATATATATATTCTATTCTAGTCTAGTCTATTCAATTTTACCACAATCTATTTAAGATCTGTCTGTGTGTTTATCTATCTATCTATCTATCTATCTATTTTTCATTTATCTATCTCAAAAATTAAAATCTATCTATCCATTCATCTATTATATTATATTCAAATGATTATATCTAAAACATTCTATTTAACATCTATCTATCTATCTATCTATCTATCTATCTATATATATTATTAATAATCTAATAAATCTATCTATCTATCTATCTATCTATCTATCTATCTATATTATTCAATTTTAGTCCATTCGTATCCACCATATTTAAAGAAAATTTTTACATCCAAACTGTCTATCTATCTTTTCAAATATTTTTTCTTATCTGTCATATTTTTTATATTTTCATTTAACTTTCTTCTTTCTTTTTTCGTTTTCCCTATCTATATAGAATTAATACAAATATAAATTTGCTCACTTAGCTGATTATTGTTGAAAGACTTTAGAGATTCGTAGAAATTTCAATCAGCAATCATTTAAATAAATGAAAAAATATCAATAATTGACTGTTTATATTTCTCGTCTTTCTCTTATATGTGCACTTTTCATTGGTGAAAGGTTTATATTTTTCATATCACTAATCGCTAAATCATCTATCTATCTATCTATCTATCTATTATCTATCTATCTATTTGGTCATGTGTTCAAGGTATTTTTAGTTGAAAATTACTACTGTAAATCTTGTCTCCTTTTTTAAATCTCTCTCTCTTTCTCTCTCTCTCTAAAAATATCTATCTATTATCTAATATATCTCTTCAATATCCACTGTGCCATGTCAAAAAGAGTTTGAGTTCAATAAACGGTTAAAAAAGTTGAGAATTTTCAATAGGAAAAAATCAATTGACAAACGAAACTATTTCCTATAAAAACATGGCACGTGAACTAGAATTAAGTTAAAACCCAGTGAGCGAAATAAAGGGTTCAAAATCGACATTCCAAATAAATGAAGAAATCTGGAGCGTAAATAAATGATTAACGTTGTAATGTGGACAATAGTCCGAATAATGTAAATAATGTACATAATATAGTTATCTAATTCCAAATATAGAAGATAATAAATTATATATATATATATATATATATATATATATATATATATATATATATATATATATGAAATGGATTCGACTGGAATTCGAACTCGGCAATCTATTACTCCACTGTGTTTTTCCATTAATACCAAGAGATTATCTACCCGCACCGTCAAATTATTTGAAAAAAGGCCTTTTTGTCGCATTTAAAATTTTTCACGAATAGAACAAAAAGACCGATTGGAGTGACAGCAATAGCTTTCCATTTCTTCTGGAAATTAAATATACAGGCCTTTTATGGCGAAAAAAAAAAAAAAAAAAAAAATTTGAAACTTTTGACCGCCAGTTTGGGATGAAAAAAATCTTTTATTGGGCAAATTTTTATCTTTTATGAGTCGGTCATTACAGCGCTCGCTGAGTCAGATTTAGAGATAATAATGCCAAACATAATTCGCCGGAGGGAATGTTTTACGAATGTGGTCCGGAAAACTGAGAAGCCCGCCAGAAACGGCAAATTGGTCTATTTTTACACATTTGTATCGGCTGTCGAAAATGGAAAACTGTGGGATTACTTCTATACGGTGGGTGGGGGTCGTTGGCTAAATTAAATCTTACAATAATATACTCCGTAATTAGCATTATGAAAAAAGAACTTCTCTTCTACTTTTTTTAAATTCATTGAATGAAAATAAATTTAATTATTAACTCGTCCATGAGGCAGGGTAGAGCTCCGGATAAACCACCTACTTGATTTCATCCAACCACGATGCGTGTGTCTATATAAAGAACGTATAACAATAAAGTATACACAAATAAAATAATTGTCGAAAACTTAGTCCATTTCATAACAAATTACGTCATTTGTTTACATTAAGATACTGCTTTGAGCAGATATGAAAAATTTGAGCGAAATCATGGTAAATTTGTTCATTTTAAAAGCAAATAATTGACCTTTTTCTATTACAAAAAAAGGATCCTTCATTTTTCAAATTATAGCATTCAGGCTATTTGACGGTTCCGTTTCGTAGGATACATATCGATTCCTATATGGATAACGTTGAATTTATGAACATTTTTTGGAAATTCAGGCCGGTAAATGTTCTTAATATGTTTATTATAAACAGGGCATTTTTAAACCAATTATCAATATATAAAAAACGTAATACAATAATACACACATACACATTTATCGCTATATCCCATAAATGTTTTTTTTACTTTTTAAAAATTATTTTATTTTCGCTCTTGAATGATGATAATCTATGTACAAAAAATATAGAATTAATACAAATAAAACAATTTTAAAAACACACACACACACACAGAATAAACACACACACACAAACACACAAGATAAAATATATAAATATATATATATATATATATATATATATATATATATATATATTATTATATTATATTTTGAATTTATTTTAAGCATATAAAAAATTTACACAAAATTTACTTTTGTATTGATATTTTTTTTAAATTGAATGTTACAAATGAATTAGAAAGGTTAAATAAGATATGTCCTTAGCTGATAAATATTATATGTGATTATATGTTACATACATATATATATATATATATATATAAGTGTTAAATAAGATTTGTCAATTAGCTGATAGATGTTATATTTGATTATTGAAGATACATGCATACATATATATATAAATAAATTAAATAAAACTTGTCAGATTTACAGATAGATGTTTTTCATTTGATTGACTATATATATATATATATATATATATATATATATGAGCGCTAAATAAAATTTGTCAAGTATTTAAACTTAAATATTTTATTGAAAAATTAAATATATATATATATATATATATATATATATTAAGAAAAATAATGCTAATATCTTTAAATAAACACCAAAAACCAAAAAAATTTAGACAATATAAAAAAATAAAAAAAAATGAATAAAAAAAAAAAAATATGTAAAATCCTAGAAACCCTCTACAAAATAAATGTCGTTGAAATTAGTATACCAATTTATCTCTTCATTGAAAATCCTGAAAACATAAAAATATATATAGGTTGCACAAGCCATGAATTCAAAAAAAAGTTCAATCAACATCAAACCTCATTTATGATAAATAAATATAAAATCAAACATCTCTCTCAAAATATTTCTGGCACTTAAAAAGAATCCAAATAAAACACCTACAGTAAAATGGAAATTAATAAGAAAAGCTAGAATATGTAGGTCATTAAATGACCCATGTCCTTTGTGCATACATGAGAAACTATATATTACTAAGTTTATAAAAAAAAAAAATTTACTGAATCAGAAAAAATGAAATAGCTATTTTTTTTGCTGTCATTGTCAAAAATTTTCCTTAAATAATATTTAAAAAATAAAATTAAAAAAAAATGGGCTGGTAAATATACATACTTATATTTCATATGAAAAAAAATAATTTTAAATAATTTAAATAATTCTATCACATTTACTTGTTTTAAAAAGAAATATAATCTATTAATAATTAAGATTGAAAATATTTAAAAATTGTAGTTAAATAAAACGTAATCGAACCCAAACATTCCCTTCAAAAAATCCTTTAAGTATACAAGTAGGAAAAATTTCTGAAAGGATTTTTGCCGTTAACAATAAAAATTTTCAAAAAAAAACCCCAGACGACATGCATTTAACGGATGTCAGAATTCATTGAAAAATATATCGCTACCCTCCCTAAACTTAACCCCTTATTCGAACGTAACTAATAACTGATACAACAAAAGTTAATAAAAATGAACACGCTACCACCCCTTGTTTGAATGATTGGATTTCTCTGTATCCTTGGAAACAGTGAATTATGAAATTTTCTGTGCGTTTAAAACTCAGTAAATTTAAAAAATAAGTTACTCCAAAATTCGCTTGAAGATGAAATGGAACTATTGTTTTTAATCTAATTACAAAATTAAATTTGAAGTTTTTAGCTTCCATTTTTGAAACATGGTCATTACTGTGTGACGAAAAAAAACATATTTTAAATCAGTTAATTTATAATATTTATGGTCTGTAAATTTACATTAAGCACTGTTTTGTAAAAATAAAAAATATCAATAGGAACACCGGATTATATATTTTACTGTTCTTTTCTTTATATATATATATATATATATATATATATATATATATATATATATATATATATATATATATATATATATAATTCTATATATATATGTGTGTGTGTATATAAATATTAATACAAATAAAATTTGATATTTAGCTGGTAGATGTTACATTTAATTATATATATATATATATATATATATATATATATATATATATATATATATATATATATATAATAGGTCTTTTTTAATTTTTAAAAAAAAAGAAATAATATTAATTTCTCAGTAATTCAATTAATAGAACAACTCTTTAGGATATATATATATATTGAAAAACCCTGGATACATCACTATTATCCTATTCTATCATTAAGGTTGATATGAATAATTCATGACCACTGACAATTTAAAATTTCCCTGATTTTCAATGCATTCCTATAGTAAAATTCCTCAAAATGCATTTAAATTATACATATAATAGCCTATTCTATCAGTAATTATAATTCGCATTCATTTCCTTTTTCTATGACAATCCCTTTCTTACTGATTTTCATTAATTTTGATATGAATTCATAACCAAAGACAATAACTTTCTTTCTAAATTATCTATTAGAGCTGTCTACGGACGGGCACTCATTTACGGCCTGTGTAGTTACGATGCAAAGAAAATAACAATAAAAATCAGCTAAATACAATCACAGATATATTGCATTGTTTAAGAATTGCCACAAAATCCTGAGATAAAAATGGGGTAATCTTGTTTGTGGCTGATATGAAATATGTTTTCCTTGTTTTATTTTATCACTATGATTCCGTTCAAAATAATGGACTTCTAAAGATGGCCAGGCGTTACTTGGTCGAAACGTTGTAGCCATTATAACAAGGATGATAAAGAAGTGATAAAAATTTGTAAAGAGAAACCGTTTACCCTTGTAGCTTCATAACTTGAGAAGGTTTTCTTACCTGAAAAAGAAGAAAAGAAAAAGAATTAGTTTAAGAGAAATAACAAAAAGATAAAATTTATCAAGAGCTAGAAAAGAGGGGAAATTGTGGAGAGTC